CCATTACATTAATCAACACACCTCCACAGCAGTGAGAGTTATAACGAGGATTTTACACCATGTTAGCATCAGGCAGCCCAAGGTGAGCTCAGCTTGAATACAGGTAGTGCCGATAAGATATGCCATGCTAGTGTCCCATATATCGTTTCTTATATCCTCCCATGAAAGAAAACTGTCCTCGACGTAACACACCTATGATACCAGACATAAATCTGAAGCATTGTTCCTAAGACGAAAACCCTAACACTAACTTATAATAACAATATCCGGGTCGTAAAGGAAAAATACTTATGATCATCTTTGGTGTTAGGAAACGTCCACTATATTGTATGTAACGGGGAGAACCTCTATAAGCCAAGAAATCATTTATAATCAGCAGCTAGAAGAAACTAAACCATCCACTTACCCCTGATCAAGATTCGGACTGCCAACGTATTGTACCTACACATTGACTCAGTTACTTGTTATTTACACTCTACAGGAGCCGTTAAGGTGCCTATCAGGTAAAATACGCGCCCTGTCTACCACGAACCTTTCAGGTAACCCTCAATAATGCACAAATCAATCCAGGTGGGTTTAGGAGGGACACGCCTCCCTAACAAACTTTATTCTTAGTTACATTGACCATCTTAAATATTGACTTTTGACACAATAAAAAATCCCCAATAAACAAATTATTAACGTCTGAACACCCACGAGGCTCAAGAGACTGGTGCCGTATCCCCCGTGAACTCCTTGGAATGACCGCCTCAGTACTTCAATATTTCTGGTAAGTGAAGAGATCCTTATACTAGGAGTATAGGATGACCCTAACACGTACGATGACATGTATAGGGTGTCCCAGAAAAATGTCCCTGCCTCCCCCCCCCCCCCTTCCTCCAACTCACAATGTCTCAGGGAGCAGGCAGGCAGGGAGGGAGGAAGGCTGGGACACATTTCTGAGACACTATATATAATGACATAGAAGTGGAGAAATCTTTACCACTAACGGGTGTAAACAACGATAACATTATGGAAAGAGTGAAGTTTACACTGTTGACTTTTGGAGTAAACTGTATACTCGTGTTATACAAGGGTGGGTAGTTTAGTGGTGTTAATGCGGTTAATGTTAACAAGGAAGTGGAATGATGTCTATATAAGTGAAATAAACTGCGGTTAACAATACCATGATACATAACCAGGGCGAGTGGACAATGTTACAACGAGTGGGGTAAATTTAACATGAAGAGTAGCTAAATTTAACTTCGTGGGGCTGAGTTTTAACAACCAAGATATATAACAGAAGCATCTTTGGTGTTTAATGGAGCAACTACTGTAAGGTCTTTAAGCAGAGTTCATGCCAATTAGATTCTACACCAGACAACAAGTGGTAAAAATTATGAGAAATGATACATACCTAATGATGATGACGCATCCTGGACACTAATGATATAAATTATGTCAATGTTATTCCTACCGGAGAAGCTTTTATTAAATAATGTGTGTGAACATTTGTCAGGAACATACGGATAGCGGTAAGACAATAAACACGCCTCCAACCCTCACAGAACAAGGCGAGATAGTTTTAAATTAGCAAGGTCTTCTGCTGCCGATCCCCATATATCTCAGACTGTACGCAGACAAGTATTTTAAACAATATTACATTTACAGTATAATCACAACAATACTGAAGTGTAATTAATTAAATTTATTTATACTACCAATGAGCGTCTATAAATTACTAATTAATTAATCTCTGTGACCGTCATTCATTGCTGTAAAATGCGTTTACTGTGTCCCCGCAGATCAACACAGCCATCGTCCGCATTGTTGTGTTGCGCTCCCAAGTATACGACAAACCTCACCGTGTCTGACAGTCCAAACAGGTTATTTAGACTAAAAAAAAAAAAAATTCAAGTTGGTGATATTCTATGAACCTGTCTGTGTGATAATAGTACTCTAGGTTTACCAGTAATATCCGATAAACTTGTATACCTGCAGCGTGTAATAAAGCGGAGGACACACACATCCACAACAATGCATTTAATTACTCTGTCGTAACAATGCTTGTGTCCAGTGTCAGGCTCTTCTCCTATCTTAATGAGAAGTAGGAATTCCAACCAGTGAACTTTTACACCTAAAATGTCTTCGTCTTCTCGCTAAAAACACAATAAGTAAAATGAACTCAATAGTTGTAATACGGTTCTTAACCATCACGTCTAGGACAAATTTACGGACACAAGACCCACCAATAATTAGTTGTATCGCGTACATTAAAGGACTCTTAATCTACCAGCAATACCACGGCCCTCGAGAAAAAAGCTGCTGAAAGGCTTTATATGACAAAGACTGATGCAGTGCCGGATTTAGACGTGTGGAGGCCCATGGGCAGCCTCTTTGTGGAGGCCCCCCTCATTATAACTACCCAAGAGGGTGGGGTGGCGAGTGAAGCGAGCCTAAACATCTGGGAGTTCCGGGGGGCGCTGTAAGCCCCCCGGGAAAATTTTGAAATTTTAACACTTCTCTGGAGAATTTTGAAGCCATATGCAGTTATATTGAGAAAATTAGAACATTGGGAAATTTTTAATTAACTGTATATTTATTGATAGTGTACAAATTCCCAACACACACACACACAAAAGTGAGACATGATTGGAGTCATTCATGTGGTTTCAAGTCGACCAGCCCTGATATAGTTACTACCGCACATGTCAAAAAATTTCAAGAGACTTCACAGAAAAGAATTTATTATTATTGCTGAACATAGTTTTACGTGATGGAATAGATAAACATGAATTTTAAAGAATGAAAATAAAAATAATCCAAATGAATAAACAAATAAATTAAATATTGTAATATGTGGAGGCCCCCAGATTGTGGAGGCCCCTGGGCAGCTGCCTACTTTGCCCACTCCTGAATCCGGCCCTGGACTGATGTATGGGTCAGGAGCGTGGACACTTTCAGCAGACACCAGAAAGTGGTTGGAGGAGGCCTTTGTAATGTGGTGTTACAGGCGAATGCTAAGAATAAGCTATAACAGGATAAAAGATGAAAAAATACTAAAATCAGCAAGCACTTCAAGAGAAATACTGGAAATGTACATAAAAATAAAAATGAGATACTTTGGTCATATATAATTAGTAATGAGAGGATAATAACAAATATTAATGGACAAAGTTGAGGGTAGGAGGGCCAGGGGAAGGCAGAGACTGGGATGGATGAATGATATTAAAAACTGGGTCCCCCCTCTGTTGACTCAAAGCACGCCCATAATACACTGTGCTGCTGCTCCCAGATTTGCTCCATTATGCCATCCTGCTCGGCTAATGGGTGTATCCACAGGAACAAGAAAGATTCTATAAGATTCCATCGTAAGTGTTGAAGTTGAAATTAAGTTACAGTATATCAAGCAGAAGTGGATTAAATTAGGAAATGGAAATGGTGGAAATTTACCTGCCTGTTGTTTGTCTGTACACTGACACCGATCGTCGGAAAATGACCGGAGACTGACGGAACAGCTAGTAATTCGACGACACGTGTGATATATCTACTGCTTCCGTATATATGACCTGGCCGCTAGTAACCAGAGTTGGAGGCTGGGAAGCGGCGAAAGGGTTCGTAACAATACAGTATACTGTATATGTCTTTGGGGTTTTTCCCACACTGGATGAATCGATTTTTTTTTAAATTCTGTATGTTGAGTGTCTGAAAGGGAAGGGAAGGGAGGGGGGGGGTCGAGTTGGGTGGTCTACTGCCACGTAGCCAATTACTAGAAGAAAGTTAAGCTTTTACTGACCTATCTTCATCTTTGTATAACATTACAATTTCTTCTGATTATTTCATCACTTTTGGTTGCGTTCCATAGGAGCACCAGGCCATGTAATTGTCTTCAGTGAAGTTAAATATCATGATTTAATATATCGAACCGGTGCTATGAAATAAATCTATGCTCTTGCTTATATTTAATATTTATAACCCAAGTTCAACTGATATCTAATGTTATAAGAAATGCTTTATATTTATAAATTAGCATTAATAAACATGATAACCAGGAAGCGCCGACCCACAGCAACAAGTTTTCACATAAATATCTTGTAATATCAAAATATCTATGATATAAAATGACAATGTGGTTCGAACACCTAGAAGAATGAAAACAACCTTAATATGGCAAATAAAATTGAAAGAGAGGTTCTACCACAGATGGTAATTTATCACTAACTATCAATTCTCAGTCGTTAATTCACAGCGAGAACCTCAGTAGTCACAGGTTGGATTTTGATGGTAATCATTAAAGAAGATATCTTTCGTAATTTCATAAATTACTGTACCCAAATACAGCACTTATGAGAGAACGTCAAACCTTAAATCCTTAATTAAAGAGAAATGTAACTGCATCGGTGTACATAAAAGGTCTTACCTGAATTCCAAGCTGCAGAACCAACGACGTTTGCAACAGACTTTCAACTCACATAAACTTTTGTTTACAATACCAGTTATTATGTGTATAAGCACTAATGTTTCTATTTGATCCTGTTCACGTTCTTAAACACTGTACACTGAACTATAACTTTTGCACTCGGATATAATAGTAGCCACTGATGAAAGACGAACTCCCCGCTCACTGACCCACCACACCTGTCGTCTGCTACCACATCCCTGCCATCTATTGTCACGCTACACAACTATTTCATAAAGCTTCTAAATGTCTAAGACTCAGATATTTGGTTTTAATATTAAGAAATTATTCATATTTTGCACCGTTTATACCCAGGTTCATCCCAGTGACAATTTACTTCATTGAAAATATTGTAAACAACACTGTGTCCGATTTTGTCAACTTTGTCTAGGTTCAGTATAGAAATCTATGTATATTCACGAAATTTTAATAAATACACTCAAATTATAAATATTATATAAAATATTTGCCTTTTAAATAAAATATAGACTGAATTCTGCGTGTTTTTACATACTTTAAAGACCTTTTGGAATTTGTTTTTACTCTGGTGTTCGAACAAGTAGTGTACGCCTCCTTTGGATGCTCTCAACACCACGTCAACTTCTCATGGATTTGTCTTTGAAAATTTCCTCTGCCTTGCGACTGCTTGGTGATAACTCTAAAACTGAATATGCCACTTACCAGGAGGTTCTTCGAAAAGTATCTGAAGACCTTAAAAAGGACTGTAAATCGAGCACTTTAATCCCTGAAATTAATGTCAGAGATGGTGGTGAGCCCTTGGCTGTGTTGTTACTTTACAGAATTTATACTTTCTCTGATGTTCCTTCATTATCGGGTATATATGTTCTTGTTTCGCAACTAGAATAGTAAATACAGTTTCAAACTATCATTTGTTGAACAACCAGAAGCTTGTATCTAGCAAGCGTATCATCTGATCAGTCGTGGTTATGCTTTCAGTATATGTAATGCTCCAGGTTTTAATATTCATCAGCCAAAGGTGGAAAGATACTGTACATGTAAATTACCAATAAGTCTTTGCCCAGAATTTTCCAATTCTAATTTGATAATCCAACTGTTTGTTTATGAAATACTGTACCACAAATTTACACTAACTCCAGTAAGAACCCTCTTATTGTAAATCACTCATAATTCGTATTTGCTGTTACTAAATACATTTAAAAAAATTTATAATACCATACTTGGTAAAATTAAAAAATGAGACATTTTGAAATGTTACATCATATGCTGGTGCTGTACCGTGGACCAAACACCGAAATCTGGTACATAGGTACTGTACTGAACTTAGAAATATTTCAATTAGGGCAGAGATAACTGAAAGGTACCACTGTTGTTATTTTTTTCCCTTGGTGGAAGGTGTCCCTCATATTTCAGAAAATCTCATAATTCGTAAGGGCTAGAGCTCCTGTTATTTCGAGTTATGGGGTTTTTACTGTACACCTGTATGGAAGTCATGAATTGCATTAGAAAAAATATGTATCAATCTATATTTTATAATTAGTTTTCTTTGAAATACAATTTTTTTAAGAAAAACAAATCTTACACTGCACCTTTCCTTCTCTGCTTTTGAAGTTGACAAACAAGCTACATATAACACACTGGTAATTGTTATCTAATATATAATATGTCTTACAGGTGTGGTGACCCACTGCCATGCTGCTCTGGCAACTCTCTTCATTGAGTCTGTACGTGGAGGTCATAATGCATCGGTTGTCACCTCTGCTCTGGAGGATCTCAACTGGCCAGCTGGTAATAGATATGTCGATTTAATTGACACAAACGCTTTTTCAAGTTTGACTTTGTCCTTGAACCTGTATTAAAGCATTAGCATATATAAATACTATATTAGCTCACATATGGAAAGCTGTCCTATAAAGGTAGGTAATGCTATTATGGGATATACTTTTAACAGTTATCCGTCCTGTTCCTAAAGGTAGTTCTTCCATTTTATAACCCAAGAAAACAGGTTCAGTCCAGGAGGTGGACCGATCAGACAGGGTGTAGCAAAAGATATAATACTCAGGGCTTGTAAATCATCATTCTGAGTTGTGGATTAGTATAATAGTATAAGTTAATGCCTGTATTCATTAGGAGATGACAGAGCAGGGGCAGATTCAGTAATTTTTCAAGGGGGGGGGGGGATTCACTGCTGCCATTAGTAATACAGATCACAAGATCCATGACCAAACCTGTAGCAATGTTTTTTTATTATTTGCAAAGTTTTGAAACAAACTGCAGCCCTGTTATTAACGAGAATATATGTTATTAAAGGTAAATAATACACACTCAGATATCAGGAACAAATCTCAGATTCTGTATTATAAAATAAGTGGAGTATAACAGTCTTGATTCTTTGTTGACTATAAACATCACAACATCTCAGTCTCACACATAACAATGCCATTATTCCATCTTGTGCAGTATCTAGCACATATTCAGCTTGTCTCTAACATTTATTCAACAAGTACCTAACATATTCAGCTTGTATTTGGCACATATACAAATTATTTCTTTACATGATATTAAAATAATTTTTCAGATCGTTTAACTGAAACAGTCCAGGAGCTAGAATCAAACCGGCAGTTAATACAGTCAAGACTTGCATCCCTCGGGACGTATCCTCCTCATATAGTTGATGTTGACTGGAAGTTGAATTACCGAGTTAGAGTAAGTTTTAATGTTAATGCTCAAGTTTTCTTCATAAATGTTTAAAACAAATTATAGTATTCATTCTTAGTTTATTATTCTGTTAATTTTTCTTTCCAGAAGGGTAACAACCCACTCCAAGTTTAACATTAAACTGTAGTGCAGTACAGGCATCCCATGGGTTACAGAATTTCTGGCACCTGAAGATTCATCCCACACTACCTGGAGGTATTCCTAAGGCGACAGTGGACCTCAGTAGTCCTGTAAAGATTTTCCCATCCCACCGTATTATCACCTGGTGGTCGTTGTACATTTTTAACTAAAGTATGCAAATACTGTGTGCATTACAGTACTTGACCTGAAAAGTACAAATTCCACAATCATTATTTTCACTAAAGCATACAAATACCAAGAACGTTATTTGGACTAATGTATATACTCACGGCCAATTTTGTGTGACAGCCAAGGCATGAGAAGTTAGTTTGTTTGTTGGTTGAGATAATGAAGAAAAATCTTCAGATTCATCTGAATAAGGTGTAAAGACTGAACAGAAAACGAGCGAATAATCAAACACAAAAAATCGGACATTTTCGAATACTGTACGTAATGTCAAAATATTCCGAACTCAGTTCATCCTTTGTTTTTGTTATTCGAGTGACCCAGAGCCACTGCGATATTGAACTAGTGATGGTTCAGTGTACAGTGTTTCCAAGTTAGCTGTAACTTCCAGCATAACAGCTTTGTGTTCAAGTCATCATCACTACACAAGTCATCACACCTAATCTTGCATCATTTTATTGACAGATGGCGTTATCTCTAGAAGTATTACTCCTGCTACCTCTCATTCAGTTTTATATTTTTAACAATATGAAACTCCCTTTCAGCAAATCAGGTCCACAAACTGATAATTTGTACACCCTTGCATTTTAATAATAAAATGGTCACCAAAAATAATAGTTTCCTTTTGATTGAAATACTGTAACAGAAAAAATATAGGTCACAATGTGTTATGCAACATTCTTATTATGTATTATCTAATTCTGTATCTAGTAGCCAAGAGAAATTAATTCACTGTGACCTACTGTCTGGGTTTTATACTAAAGCAATGGGTTACAACAACCAGACTTCATGGACTTTTCTCCTGCAATAGTACTGGAGATAAACTTGTGTACAGTTGTGCACAGAAATTCATGGTTCACACGAGGTGGAGCGTATGGAGCCCGTCCCACCCTTAGTGGACTGCAAGTTGATGTCTAGGCGACTCAGAGCCTAACTCACTAACTAGCACCGGTGTTGGGGGTTGTCTAGACAGTGACTTGCAGTCAAGTAAGGGTGGGACGGGCTCCATACCCTTCTTCTTGGGTGAACCATGAATTTCTGTGTACAATTGTACATAAGTGTATCTTCATCTTCTTGCCAATATTTCCATAAATAAAACAGTTGCATTTGCTTAAATTGTGTGGCCAATTGTACGTTTACTGACAAATACTTTAATTAATTTTGTGATATTAAAGAAACTTTTTTTACAGAGTAGTGCTGGTGAGGAAGGCGGTGGAGCTATGTACTTGGTGACACTTCACACACAAGAGATGGAGGGAAAGAGAGGGAAGGTCACATTTTCATGTTCTCTAGCTGAACTCACACATCTCGTTACACGCCTCAGGCAAGCCACTCGCTGCATTCAGAAATATGCTAATAACAGCTGATTGAATAGGGCACATAGGTTTTGTAGTTTCAATTTAATTATCAAACTTGCTCAGAATGAACCATTTATGGTGCTAGGGTCTTTTGCCTTGTACTCTTTATTCAGGTTTTCTATTAAGTATTTATGACAGTTCATTAGAAAAAGGTTTTTGTGGGACTGTCTATAGAACATTGATTATTTACACTGTACTGTTATTATTATGCAAGATACAACAGTAAAGTTTGTGAGCTGCAATTATTGATTTTATTGGTCAAACTTAAGTAGCTGCCTTATAACGTTCAGTAAACTGTTGCCATACCTTCTTGAGTGTATAAGATTCCAATTTATTTCATACTCATTTCCTGTACAGTACATTTATGCAGTGCAAGAAGTTAAAGAAAAGCATTCTGCATCCAATTAAACCTACAGATGAATAGTTGTTTAGTGAAAAGTGCTTTGCTTTATTAGCACTTGTGCAAGTTGGGCTTATTTATTTTAGTAAAGGCATATTAAAGTTCTTATCATCAAAAAAGGGATCGGGGCAGGTGAAAGTCATTTATCTATTAAAGCAACTGTTTTGGTATGGATTCTCCACTTACATATAACTTTTGATATTCTTGCTTCACTCTCTTAAGAAATGGATAGCAAAGGGCAGTTAATGTTTTCTTTGTGCTCTTTGTATGCATTAAGGAAAATCATATGTAATGGCAAATTTCACATTAAAAGTAAGCTGTGTTATAAGATATATTTTCACATAACTTACAATATTACCATTGGTCAATTTTCTTGTTGAAAATGTTAAAACAGACAGTGGTTTTGTTGAAGTGTACATTTCAGATCACTTCAACCTGTCAACCAAGGCTACATTAAACAATCATACAACGGCAGCTGTTTGTTGCTTGCTTTGAATTTTTCATCCAAACATGGCTCAGGAACAGTTGATTCCCTGTGTATATATATGAACTTGACAATACTGTAATTATAGGCCTTCACAATTAAAGAACAAATTTACAATCCTCTTAGATAATCTCAAGGAAAATGCAGTAGTAAAGTTACTGGACATGTACAGTTGTGGACAAAAAAAAAGTGTCAGGGAGAGAGTGTAAGCTTTACCTGCCTCATAATTAAACTAAAAACAGAAAAAAAATGTGGTGTGAAAAATAAAATCGCAGAACTTTTAATTGCCACCTCTATGCACCGTGCCAAGTCTCCACCTCCCTCCTTAATTCTTTGTGTCCACAACTATACATCTGGATCATCATATAACACAATGGGTTTTCCAGGGATTATATTCTGACAAAAGTAACTCTGGAATAACACCAATGAAGTGAACATACACATAATCAGTGATGACGTTGCACAGCTTTGACAACAGTTACTTAAATATGTATTCCGGTCTGAGTTGGCGGGGTTTACTGTACTTTGAAGTGGAATTACCACTGTTCCAAACCATTATAATACTGTACTTTATTTAATAATCAGAAGTGTTTTTCACTTTTATGAATGAACTTGGTCTACAAGTAAAAATTGATCCAGGGAAAGAATAAATGTTCAGGTGAACTAGACCCATCATTCCTGAAAAGGGGATGACTCTCGCACTGGAACCTCAAGCTGAGCTAGTATATTACAATCAACAAATTAATAACATTGTTACCAGTGAACATGTTCATATAGTTTGTGAAATTGCTGTTTTACATTTTATAAATGCAAGTAAAAAGATCTTTCCTGTTAGTAGTGCAGTGATTGCACCTCGCAGAAGCCATACTGGTGTCTTGATTTTTTTATGTGGTTTGAGAAGCTTAAATTATCCAAGGTATATGAAATCACACTGGGGTTCACAGTTCCTAGGCCATCTCCCGATAGTGTGACAAAGTAATTGTCATACGAGAGAGTAGTTCAATGTCCTGCTTTATTGTGACTTATCCTTTCATTATTGATGGGTCTTAGCCTTTATATAATTCAATAGTTCCTTTATAACAGTTGTATAAATGAAGTGATTTAGAATACAGTAATTGTAAAGAATTACAAACAGATGTTAAAAGATGTTGAGTGTTTTCACATTTTCTCAAAATATGAAAAAGTTGTTCGATATTTGTATCATTAAAATACAATCTCCACCTTAGCATATAAGAAATAACTTCTAATTAGGATTAGAATATACTGTCAGAAGCTGTAAAAAAAAAAACAATTTTGTTTGTTTGTACTAGTTTGAAGCACTTAACCTTTTCTAGAATTTACATTGTTTAGACTAAAATAATATTGAGAAGGAGCTTTATCATCTATAGAGCAAGGTATAACTGTGTGACTTGGGGTTAAAGAAAAGAACCAATAATTCAGGAGAGGCAGTACAGTATTTGGGTTGTGTGTGAGTGAGAGAATGAAGAGAAGCAAATTATCAAGAGCACAATTTCATTATTTTAACAGAATGAAGGTGGAGAATGATGAAGTACAGTAAGAATGAAGGTGGAGAATGATGAAGTACAGTGAAAATGAAGGTGGAGAATGATGAAGTACAGTGAAAATGAAGGTGGAGAATGATGAAGTACAGTAAGAATGAAGGTGGAGAATGATGAAGTACAGTAAGAATGAAGGTGTAGAATGATGAAGTACAGTGAAAATGAAGGTGGAGAATGATGAAATACAGTGAGAATGAAGGTGGAGAATGATGAAGTACAGTGAAAATGAAGGTGGAGAATGATGAAGTACAGTGAAAATGAAGGTGGAGAATGATGAAGTACAGTAAGAATGAAGGTGGAGAATGATGAAGTACAGTAAGAATGAAGGTGGAGAATGATGAAGTACAGTGAGAATGAAGATAGAGAATAATGAAATACAGTGAGAATGATGGAGTACAGTATGACCATAAAGTAGCAGCAACACAGGAATTGTTAAATATGTACCGTAATTCAAGTGTGAAGCCATGTTTTGTACGGACCACAGCTTGTGAGTGTTAGAGTGTCTTGGTAGATTTAAATACATAAATACAACATTATTTCTGTGCAATGCAATAATGTTTATCACTGTGATAATTGTGATATTTTACAACTTTTCACTGTCATCGAGTCATTCAATCAATTGGAAGTACGGTACTGTAGTGTTTGCTGTAATATTTTTCGGATTATTAGAAATTCTATCTCTTTGCAAGTGCCAAATTTTATCCTAATCATTTATAAATAGGGTAATGTATTTTAATGCCATATCTTTGATCTAACACAAAGCACATATCTTCTTTTTTTACAAGAATCCACAACTGTTATTCCCATTGTAAGAAGTAGTTTATTATAACCAATTGTTGTAGAATGAGATGTCATGTACAGTATAATATTTTTAATTGAAATTTAAGATATTTATTTCATTCCTGTTTATTTTGTTTTGGTGCAGTTGTGTATGTGGGAATGATTTCCTTTAACTCAACATGAGTTGATCATAATGTATTTATATTAATTTTTAAATCTTTATGCATGTTTTCCACTTCAATTAGCCAATGAGTGTGTGACAGATGGAAGCCTGTGTCATATATGGTGGCTATAAAAGCTCCATTGAATACTCATGCTTGTAGCCATGGAAATGATTCTGTATATCACCATTTAGAAGTCTTTGTACTGTTCTAGGAATTTCATATAATGTTGTTTTTGTTGAGTTTTCAAGCCATAGAAGATTTTTGGGCCAGTGTCTTTTTGCTAGACTAAAATCAGTTAAGTTATCTCAAGCAGGCGTACTGACATTTCATTGGGGCATGTGTTATCCTTCAGTAATTTATTAAAACTACAGTAAAATATCTGTTAACTGAAAATCTATTTTATGAAAATTTTTATCATTCTAAATATAAAATTTAAGAATAAACAGTAGAATAATTGTCTTACATTTCATTTTCCATTATATTAATGAGGATAAATTGGACAATCAGGCTCAGCGACTGTGCATGTTGGTGTTAGTGACAAATTTACTTGCTTTCACGTGAGTTTGAGGTATGAGGTAAATGGTGATTATAGAAGATTGATGACACTTTGAAAGCTTATTTCTAGACTAAATAACATTGAGAGAGTTGTAGAATACTGAAGTAAGTTAGTGTACTCTTATAGTATTTACCAGATACTGTACTGCTGAGGGATACACTTTTTTATGATAGCCCACCCAGGCACAGGTCACCAACCCACAATGGAACCTGTGGGGTGAAAAAAAGCAAAACCAAATAAATTAGAGGAAATAAAAGGGTACAGGTAAACCAGGACTACAATGGGGTTACGTTACTGAAAATCCCTCGCAAACTGCAATATCATAAATCGAGTTCACTACAAAGCCACTGTTGGAAAGCTCATAAAATTCTGCTTATAAACATAATAATACCTTGTGTGGTAGGTATTATGCTGGGAACACATGTATTTCTTAGTCCTTTATTCAGAGTGAAAAAAATACAATCATGTTTATTTTTTTGTTCTTATGTTAAAGCCAAAACAATAACGAAGGCAATGATGTACAAGGCAAAAAAAAAATAATAATAATAATTTCTTGAGGTAAATTGGCTACAGAACAGAGATGACCAAACCTCACGTGAATGGTCCCATATGACTTTTGTTGTGGTCATGGAAACTTACTCACTTATTGCATGCGTAAGAGAGTTAATATGCCGTTACCTGAACTGACACACTTATAACTGTGCACCTCAACATAAAACCCCCATGTGCAGAGTTGAGAGACAGATATGATGGAGTATGGTGGCTGGGAGTGAGGGTGGTTCAGATCCTGTATTCCAGTTTGTAAGTAAGCCTGAACAAATGAAAAGCAGGTTGTGCATGTGCTGTATGACTACCATGTCTCATAAGTTTCAAGTTTTTTAGTAACTTGGGGCTTCTTCATATCTCTTTTCATGGGCTACAGTTGTTGCAGGAAAGATGGCTGGTCTTCAGATTAGCCAAAAGTAAAAAAAGTTTCTAAAGGTTCCTAGAGTCATAGCCTTTAATGGGCATGTTTACAACTCGGTCTTGATAGGTATAAGTTATCAAATGACTCCAATGCAAAATAATTACAATGAAGGAAGTGACTAAGTTCCAGACTTGATTATAAACATATCTATCTCAAAGCTCTTGTATACTGTGCTACATAATGTCTGCCAAAGTGGTTATTTACCTTACGTTATAATTAGCAAAAACTTGTACAAAATACATCAATGCAAGTAAGTGGTTGTTGGTTATGATGTGGTTAAAGGTCTATAATTTGTGCCTGACCTTCATGAAAGTATACATGAAAAAGCATCAAGCCAGACCTATCTTTATGCAGTTTAACAAGTAAGATTGGACCCTGCTACTTACTGCCACAGAAAATTGTACATAAACCTTGATAATCCAGTATACTAGGGGCTTTGGCTCTGCCAAAATACTGAAATTGCCAAGTTAACAATTTCAGATTTAAAGTGTGAACGTAGTACTGTATTAAGGCTTGAGCATGCATCTGCAAGATTTTGCATTGTATAGTGGTATTTATTTTCATTTATATATATAATATTTAATTTATTTATTCTTGTAACATATCTCTGGTTGCATAGTGATCAGGTATGTGTGCGGTGTGTTACCGAGTCAAGCTTACTATCAAGCAATGCATAATGGCAACGTAGTGGTGACATGCGAATACATATAAAACTATTTTGCAAACAAAATATAATGTATGCAAAACCAAAATCTAGGCTCCATACACCACCAAATGATAAATACAATAATGACAATATAGCAGTGACACCTATAAGCTGATGCTGCATAATATAGCACTCATCATTATTTCTCATATTTCAATTATGTATATCCACTCATTTACTTCTGTATCTTTATATTCGTTTCATACAGAAACCATTTAAAAGCACTCGTCACTTATGCTTGCTTTAGCACTCATGATTGTAAGAGGTGCCATAGATAAATAATAAAGATGATGATAAAAAATAAAATAAGGGGACAAAGTTTAGCAAGCCAATACAAACTGCATGGTATAAATGGTTGCCTTGGCAGAACTGAGCACTATACAGGCATCCCCGGGGTTACAGAAGAGTTCCATCCTGAAAATTTTTCCGTTGAATGAAATTCTGTAACACGGGACCACTTTTCCCATTGCCTCCCAATATAAAATGAGATGCATTCCGAAGGAAATTTTTGGGCCAAAAAACATAATGAACATATATGAACAAAAATAAAAAGTTTTAAACACATACATTGATTCATTTATCATGTAACATGACAATAAATGCACACAACACTTGAATTTAACTCCAGCTAACACAATTAATGTTTGCCTTTTCTTTTCGACATCAAATTCCAACTCTATAAATTATTCCTGAAAGATTTGAGCGATAATTTGGCATGTCCTATTTTGTTTCAAAATACAGTACAGTATACTAAAATGTTAACTACATGATTTGTTTACAAAATTTTTATGAAAAACTGCTTAGCATTTATCAATTTGTTACCATTTCACAAAATTGTGTTACCGGTACTTACTTTTAACCTCTTCGCCACAACTCTGCTTGTTAGTCACTTGGTCAGTCATTCACGTCCCTGTGACTCATTGTTGGCAAGTACTGTACTGGGCATGCACCGTCTCCTGAATGTATCTGAACCTGCTCCAGTGTTGGTCACGTCTGGTCTTGAAGCAGCTCGCAATCAGTGCCATCACAACACTCTGGCAGGTTGTTCCTCGAGTTCACAACTCTCACTCGAAAAAAGTTTGTCCTCACATTTTTCTGGACTTGTGGTTTCTTCAATCAAGAACTGTAACCCCTTGTGGAGCAGGCATCCAGTAGCTCCAGGTATAGACACTCGACTGAGTAGTGCTCTCCGAGATGTTAATACTGTACACCTCAATTAGGTCACCTCTTGCCTGTCTGTAGTATTAAGCTAGGCAGGCGCTCTAATCTCTCTGGATAACTGAGGTGCCAAAGTGCAGGCACCTGTCCTTTGGACATTTTCAATCAACTGACAGTCCCTAGCATATCTCAGGGACCAGAAGGGGAAGCACATCACTCTTGAAGATCGTTATGAGGGACAGACCATCTAGATATCTGAACGACCTTATAAGATCTACTAGTTAGTTAGTCAATTCACCTTCTCACAATGGCCCCGAGAACTTCAGTTCATTGTCAACACACACACACCCCAGATCGTTTTTGCATTCAGTCTCTATTAATGCAGTTTCTTCGTCCCATTGGGACATGGGATAGGCCTCCTTACCGTAGGTAGGACTACCCCAAAAAACTAAAACTAAAAATAAAGTGAATCTGGTGGTTGCCAGATACCATTTTGACTGAAAGTTTTTGGAAATTGTGACCTCATTCATTTGGGCAATTTGTACATCATATACTATTAGTCACTAGACTAACATCTCTCTTTAATGTCAGTTACTTTCAAATTGCTTACTATATCATTATAAAAAAAAAAGCTTCCCTTTTGTCAAAAAACTCTGGACATCATTCAAAAGTTCCCCATTAACTCCATACATCTTCAACATTTCCTACGTCACTTTTCTATCTACTCTATCATGATTTTCCTAAATTCATAAATATTTCATTAATGTACTTTTATGCAAACTCTTGATCCCCTCACACTGTCTTTCCTGAACCCACAAACACACTCTTTTTTTTGCTACAACACTCTCAGTAACAGCTCGTACTATACTTCTTTTCCTGATATACTTGACAGAATTAACCCTCAAAATATATACAGGTACTGTATTGTTATTGTTTTTATACAGGAAAAAAATTCACACTACAGATTTTGGCAACATTGTAAACTAAAGTTTAAAGTACAATATTTTCCCCTAAATTGTACTTAAGTTGGAATAAAAGTGCACTGTACTTCAAAATATTGTAAATATAATGTTTAAAAAGTAATTTCTCAAGAGACCTATTTAAGTAAAAGCAGAGTACTTAAATAAGAGTTACTTCACGACTCCAAACCTCTGGATGTCAGCAACACCAAAACCTGCCAATTTGCATCAAATCTAAATAAATAAATGCTGAATTAATGGGGGTTCAGTGTAATGATACTTGATTAATACAAATGTCATGAAATTGCTTTGATTTAATACCTTTAATACTGGGCAGGCTAGTTATTTTAATCCACCTAAACCTCACAAACCAACTAAACCTTTGCAAATATATTAATAAATTACCATTTATTAAAACAAAAAAGAAAAATAGTTTGTTTTATACATAAGAAGGCACAAACCATAAAATTACAAATAACACTTAAGTTCCTGATAGTCGAGAGATACATTGGAACTCATCAACAATAGAATCTTATGTCCTATGTACAAAGTATTATGCAGGATCTCTTTCCTAATCACACCAAGTAAATCATCAAATATGACGGCCAATATTCATTTACTTAGTATAATTTTGGAACTGCACAATGTCTTATATGAATCAATGTAGTCTTTAAAAAATCTGCTGAAATAAGGCTAACTTGTACCTTTACAAGACAAATTACCTGTTTTAAGCATTCTATATAAATTCTGTACAGTACTGTACTCAGTTTATCAAAGTTGGAGAGCTGTAGGAGTTAAGTTTAAATATAATATTTTTGGGGGAAACTATATGATCACAGTACTATCCATATGACCAACATTGGTAAGTCTTACATTATATTACTTTTATCTATAAGAAGAGGACAATTGATTTATGAAGTTAACAATTTCCCCCCTTTTTCTTAATTCAGCCTGTGGACTTAACATTAAATGAATAGCAAGACACAAAATTTATTTCCTTTAATAATCAAACTTTTATATTGTGACAGGTACAAATCATTTTCGTATTTTATTTTCTATTTTCTTAAAATTTTCAAGACTTCCAAATACTTGAGTGATGTACAGAACTATAAACTGAGATTACAATAAATTTTAGAACACATCAGAGGATTAGTTCCTCTAAGTCCTTCATTAACTTTTCTTCTGTAGCAATCTTGTCCAGTTGATTTTTCTCTAAGGCTTTTCCATTCTCCTGCTCTCCCTTTAGTTTTGCAATGGCATCAAGTTTCTGAAAAAAGATGAAATAATGTAATAGGCAATTCATGATTTTTCCATGAAAATTATCAAAATGTATGTTTTAAAATGACATATCCAAGCACAAACCTGGACATTCCTGTATACCTGAGCCCTCGTCATACATACTATAACCCCTGCTTGGGCCGTATATTATACTGTACTTTGTGTCTCTCCTGCACTTAATCCAACATCTTAGTTTAAAAAAATATTCTCAGCCATCAATGTAAGACCTAAACTTGGCTTGTGTTACAAAGACTTCAAATTTTTTTTCATTATCACTGCATAGTTTTGTAACACTCAATATTTTCTTTAATTCCATACATACAGAACTAGTCACCACAGGTGGTTGAAGGATTGGCCATGGTTATTAATGTAAATATGTACTGAACTACACTAATTACCACCATTGGCTGTAGCGAATGGTCAGTCAGCTGATCTCTGACATACATAAATAAACATGATGACCAAAGGTGAATATAACTTGTTCAGTAACTGCTGGTGTTTCATTCTCCCACTGATTGGTCTTTTATTATTATTACCTCAAATTGCAGCTTACTAGCCATTCAGGTGGTTAGTCCATTCTTTAATTCCTTATGAACTTTATTTCTCCAGTGTTAGTACAGGAAGAAACCAGAGTACAGTGGTCCCTCGGTTAACGAACGGTTCGGTTAACGCATTGCCTCCCATAAGGATCTTCTATTCGGTTAACGAACAAAACTTCAATTAACGAAATCCTTACAACAAACATGTTTTGTTGTAAGCATCAGCTGATGGGCTAGCCTGCCAATTCAGTACGGTAATCTGTTCTATATTTACATTCATTTCCAGTGGAGTAAATATCAAGAAAGTTGTGCTCTTTAATATTTTTGCATTTTTTTATATTAAAATTATTAGTCATTTTAAAATTTAGTTAACACATTCATAATATATGCAGTACAGGGAACTAGTTTTTTGTGCACCCATCAGCTGCTTGACTCACCCACCAGGCGTCAGTTTGGCTTTGTTTATAATGGAATGAACATCGATTTTGTTGGCGTCTTGAATATTTTTGCATTTTTACATCAAAATTATTGGTCATTCTGAAATTTAGTTAACATATTGATAATATATAGCACAGTGCAGTGTCGATTTAAATAAAATAATCTTGAATTAGTACCAGGGTTGTTATGATTTAAATCAAATGATTTAAATCGATTTAAATCAGATTAAAAAAATCATGATTTAAATCAAAATGATTTTTTTACTAATAACTGTTTTCTCTTTTTATTCTACATGATTGTAAAGTATATGCAATGCAGCAGGCTAATAACATTAAGATGATTAAAATGCTAAGATTAGGATATGTTCCACCTAAAAGACATCAAATTGGAGGGTCTCTTTTGGATCAAGCCTACGATTCAGTGATTAAGAATTATTCAGAAGAACTTAGTGGGAAAACAGTTTGCATGGCCATGGATGGATGGAGTAATGTCCACAATGAGCCTATAGTATGTATAACTTTAACAGCGGACAACCGTATTTATCTTGTTGACTCTATAGACACAGAATCAAGACACACAGCTGAATATTTGTTGAAATTAGCTGAATGTGCTACAAAAAAGTGTGAAGACAAATTTGGATGCACAGTAAGAAGCTGTGTAACAGATAATGCTGCTAATATGGCAAAAATGAAATGTGAATTCGGACAAGATAAATCCATTATAACATATGGTTGCTCTGCACACCTGTTAAATTTGCTTTCACAAGACCTGCAAATCAAGAACATTAAGGAGCACATTACTGAAATCATTAAGTACTTCAGAAATCATCACATCCCAGGATCTTTGTATGGAAGAGCAAGAAGAACAATGCTAGAAATACCATCAGACACACGATGGAACACAGTGACAGATTCTATTGAATCTTATTTAAAGAACTGGGAGACCCTTGTCAAAGTGTGCAAAGAAAATAGTGAAGACATTGATAAGAAAATTGAAAGGAAAGTTAATGATAAGGCATTAAAAAGAACTGCAGAAGACTATTTAGAGAGACTTAAGCCTATTGCTGTGGCATTGGACTGTGTCCAGAGAGAACATACCCTATTAAGTGATGCTGTAGAAATCTGGGTAAGACTGAAAACTGATATTAAGGAGTATTTAACAGATAAGAAGGATATGGATAATTTTGAAAAAAGAATCAAAGTAGCATTGACACCTGCCCATTTTCTAGCTAATGTGATAGATCCAAGGTATCAGGGCAGACATCTGACTCCTGAGCAGCGAGACATTGCAGAACAGTATGTGTGCGAGTCTCTTCCACATTTCCTTTCAACATTAATGTCCTTCCATGGAAGAAGTGCACCATTTAAAGAGGTCTATTTTGGTAAAGATGTTGTAAAATCTCTCTCACCCCTTGCTTGGTGGCAGTATTTTGCCAATGATATGACAGAAAATGTAATGGATGTTCCTAGGCAATTATTTACAGCTGTTGCATCATCAGCAGGGGTTGAGAGAATTTTTTCCACATATGGATTTGTACACTCAAAGGTAAGAAATTGCCTAGGACAGGAAAAGGCATCTGAGCTTGTCACAGTACATAAGCATTTCAATGTTCAACTAAGCTAATTTAAATGTTTTGAACTATTTTTGTTGTTTACAGAATGAGAATATTGTGTTGACTTGAAGTTATTACCGGTAATTCTTAATACACTATAATCCTACAAATGTAAGAAAATATACTTGTTACCATCATTATTTTTTTTTACAAAATGAGAATATTATTCTGTTGACTTGAAGAAGTTAAATTATTAATTTTTGAAACACTGTAATCCTATAAGAGCATTTATGTTAAATTTCGTTATTAAGTTTGGATTTGTGCACTCAAATGTAAGATAAGTTACCAGTTTTCTTTTATTTTACAAAAAGAATATTATTGCGTTAAATTCCATTGGTACATCTACTGCATAAATATCTTAATGCCAATTTTCTGTTTATTATCCTGAATAAGCTTTGGTTGAAAAATACTGTTTTTATGGTTTAAAAATATGATTTCAATGCAATTAGTAAAAAAATAAAAAAATCGATTTATATAAAAAATCCGATTTAAATCAAATAAATCGATTTTTTTTTTTTTAAATCACGATTTTTTCCAACCCTGTCAGAATTACTCCAAGTGAACTTAAAATTTTATTGGTGAAATTACTGCATCAAGCATGGGTACCCTGAAAGGTGATTTCTCCTCCATCCCCACTTCCTTCTCTTCTCCCTTCTCCTCCACCCCAACTTCTAATTCCCATCATCATCATTAACCAGGAACCTTCTACATACACACCTCAAAGTAAGTGTACTTTACTGCAATTTTTTTTTTACTTTGTATGTACTTTTCTGTGAGCCGGAACCAATTACCCAATATCCCATTGAAACAATGGGTTCGGTTAACGAACGACTCTGTGGAACGAATTGTGTTCGTTAACCGAGGGACCACTGTACATGGAGACACACCTGTGATGTTTGGCAGGGCAACACATGTGTGTCTGGGCCAAAGACTTGAACCCATAACACGGTTGCAAGAGAAATGTGCATTACCACTGTACCAACCCCAATATCATAGTATTTTCAATGGGATGAAACACCACAGCTAATTAGTTGTTTCTACAAAAACTGCCACAATTTATAACAATCATATGAAAAAAAAAAAAAAGAGATTTACAGAACAAGATTTATCATGCTTTATAGTGGCAACTGGTGAACTGTAGTGGGGATTGTTCTGTAGAGCATTACTAGTATTGTCTTGACCAAACTGCCCTTAATTTGAATAAAAAGTTTGTGATTATATTTTTTTATAATTTTTTTTTACCCCAAATATGAACTGGTGATCTGGTTCACAGGACTGTAGGAACCACATAAACTAATTTATTTGGCAGCAAAATGGAGAATTGACCTGTTTGTAAGTCACAACACTCAAATCACTAATCAGCTGTGTGGACGCCTTATCGCTTGGAGGGTCACGATGCTTAAGGGCTTCTCAAAAATTCCCTGCAGCTTGTTTGCAAGGTTGTTCCTATAGCTCATGTTCCAAGGCATATGTTCTATAGAGATTCCCCTGGCAATATGTTGAAGCAATATTCTTGCTTTTCTATGGTTAGTCAACAAGTCGCTGTTCTACCTAGAGCCTCATATTAAGGAATACAGGTATGTATAAGGAATGAATAAACACCTCTTTCAGTCTCCTTCACTTCCAAACAAATTTCTACCATCTCTACTGTTGGATGAGAACAATATTCTCAACTGAAATGTTCTTTCAATGTATGTTTTCCTTCCATTCTCATGTTATTCACAACTCTCCTGAGCACACAATAAAACCCATGAAGTACATTTATCTCACCAGTCATCCTTTTCTAACCTTTTTAATGTTTTTAATCTTCTTGTCTTTTTCAGGATTTCCAGTTAGTTCAATGCTTGCAGCAAGTGATTTAGATGGTGCAACTTCTGGAGGAGGAGCTTCTCTCCAGTTATTTCCACCCTTTTCTTCTTTTCCTGATTCCCCCTCTTCACGTTTCTTCTTAGCTGCCTCTCTTTTCTTCTTATTCTTCAAAGCTGACTTTGACAGCTGGGGTGGTGCTACAAATACCAAAAACACGTTGCATTATTGTAAAGATCTATCATATGCTCCTGTAGTTAATAAATTGAATACACAAATACTTCATATGTTAATGACAAAAGCCTGGAGCACAGAGGAAGAAATCTTACTGAAGAAGTTCCAATTTATCAAAACCAAAAGGACTGATATAGTAAACAATTAAGAAATATAACACTACCTTCGTTCTTAAGGGGGTCATCCACTTCACTGAGGAACTTTTTCTCAGTATTTGTAACACCAACAGGACCTTTTGCTCCCCTCTGAGATGGAGGAATGTACCTTTCTTTTGATGCTGTTGAGAAAATAATAATACAGTCTATTGGTTACATGATTTATAATAGGGAATAAATTATCAAATACTGGTAAATAACTGATATTTTGAGAGAGAGAGATCCTATCACCCCCCCTTCCAACCGGTTTGTTACTATGAAAAATATGTGAATTAATTGCAATATGATTTTTTTTCCTACTGTAATAGTCTTTGAATCCCTTGAGTACGATGTAAGCTCCCTTGAGTACGATGACATCCCCCTGAGTACGATGGTGTTGTATTGGGGGGGGGAAGTGATTATACTCATGGAATTGTACTCAAGGGGGGATAAATCATCGTACTCAGGGGGGGAATAAGTCATCGTACTCAAGGCCCATCAAGGAGTAATGTCTCTTGATTTGTAGGTCTTGAGAGAGAGAGAGAGAGAGAGTATATCAATAACAGTTCGTTTACAGTTTATTTAGTGTGTAAGGTGATAAATACAAATACATGTACTCCATTTACACAATCTAATACCAACTCACCAGCAACTATGGAGGATTCTATACCAGTGACAGGCTTAGTAGAAATAACGAAGGGCTTAGCAGCCTCAGGGTCTGGGATCCACTGGGCAGCATACAGCTCATCCATGAAGTTTTCATGTTGCAACACAGCAGTGTAGTGCCACACTTTATATCTGAAAATATATAATGTTACTGAAATAATCCATAATTAAAAGGCTAAAAAGAAAATGGATCAATATCTAATGATCATTAAAGAAAGAAATAGCGCTTTCCCAGGAGTAATGGGGTAAAACTTTTATCTTTTGGTTGCAATACTTTACCACTGTTGAGTTTATTTTTTTTTAAATCAAATGTGGTACTGTACAGTAATACTTGACCTTTGTCAACAGCCTTCAAAAAAAGCTCCACTTCACTGGAGAGCCTCAACTCTACCTCTACTACAGGGCAGATGACATAGCTATGTAAACACAGGCAACTCTCCCGCCATTGTCGTCAGCCCCACTACTCCCATATATACAGAGCAAGCTCATCTTTCTCAATCATCTCACGAATGTTTAAGTTATAAACACACCACCACCACAATATGAAGTAGTCATGTTTTTTAAAGAATAAAGCAAAATCAATAAAAGATTGATGGTGCTTTTCTTACACATCAGTAAGGGTTCCATAAAAGTTTACACTCATCCCTTTTATCAGGATTTTTTGTTCGTCCCTTTAATAATTTTTTATCCTTTTAACCCTTACAATTTCTGCCTCTTTTTGAATGAGTACCGGTAAGAAGAGAAGTAGACCAGCGACACCTTCTGGCCTCACACTCAGAGGAGGACGACTCTGTCTGGAGTGAGGATGAAAGTTGCCAGTTCCTTCACCACCAAAGCATGTAAAGTAGCACCTTTGTATGAAATTTAAACAAAATCTATTTTTTTACCCCAAGTGCCGACAACTAAGGTATTAGGTCAGGCGCATTTTGGGGGAAGGTGAAAACTAAAGAGTTTTTATTGTAAAGTAGTTAGTGATAGGTTCTTCAAGAGCCTAACCCTATCATTTATAGAGGTTTACCTGTACTTAAAAACACTTCCACAACAAACAGAACGCTCTGACAAGCTATTTAAACCAAAACCCAACCAATTTGACCATTATTTTTTATTTGGGCCAAATTTTTAAACTGGATGGCAAAATATTCGGCAAAGGTATACCTTTACATAACTTACTGGGATGCAGAGGAAATGTGTGACATCAGCCCAAGAAAGTGTTAATAAAATACAGAATGAATATATTTTTAGGTTACCATTATCTTAAGACATCTGAAACTATGGTATTCTGAAGTGGATAATACTGAGATTCTATTTTACTTAGTCACAATTAATTGATAACATACCCATTGTTAACTCTTAGTCTTGGGGAGCATGTAGCTGTGAGTAAATATTGCCCACATGGAGACCAACTGAAGTATGTAGAATCGGAACACTCCGTTTCACTAATCTTCTTGCGTTCTGCTATGTCCCACATCTGCCAAGAAATCCTGGGACTGTATTTCTTAAATGAACTAATTAAAAACTAAGATCAATAACCAATTAGTTTATTATACAATTATGAAATTGTTATCGTGAAGAGTAATTACAATTCTCTAGAAAAGATTAACCTTTTTTAAATTACAATAAACTCTTAATCATTACATGAAAAAAAAAATCAGTCCTTCAATTATTAAGAAAAGCTTTAACCTAAAACTGTAATTTCCATTTCACATCTCTCTATATAGAGGAATGAGTGTGTTTTTCTTAAGTGTAAATTGAAATAAGATAGTTTGTGTTGTCTCGATAATAGTTCAATGTTTATATGGATGGAAATGTAATGTTGGTGGGATAATACTCTTTTCTTAACATGTTCACTTAACTATTTCTAATCTATAAGCTATCTTATCTATTTAATATACAGTGGGGTATGCTATAATGAACGGATCCTACTACGAATATTCCTATAATGAACGGTTTTACCTATAAAATTGAGAATGCTATAACGAACGAAACTCCTACAACGAACGCGGATGAATACGGGACTATTTCGCCTGGCGCATGAATATTGTTGTACCGCGACCCACAACAAGAGTGTCAGGCGCCATCTTTGTCTCATTGTGTAGCCAGTGCACCACTGATATTGTTGAAATTTTGTCTTTTGATGTGGAAATTCGCTTTATTTGTATAACTATTTTGTTATACAAGTATACAATTGTAACAATGAGTCGTCCAAAGCGAGTGAGAAAGCTAATAACCCTTGAAACTAAGAAAGAAATTATAAAGAAACGCGAGAATGGAAGAAGCATTGCGAAACTTAGTGATGAATATGGGATGGCTAAATTGACTATATGTACGATTTTGAAGAATAAAGAGGAGTTAAAAACTGTGCAAGTGGCTAAGGGAATCTTTAGACTTAGCAAAGCAAAGTGTAATGTGATTGAAGAGATGGAAAATTTACTCTTAGTGTGGATAAAGGAGAAAGAAATGGCAGGTGGTAACATTAGTGAAGCTATAATTTGTGAGAAGGCCAGACAATTGTTTGAGGACCTTAAAGCCAAGACTCCCAGTGGAAGTGATAGTGATGTGCCAGTGTTTAGGGGTACCTGCATGCTGAATAACACTAAGGTAAGATAAAGTACCATATTTTTTACATTTTCCACAGAATTTTTTCAGTGTTAAGTGGTTGTATTTGGGGGCCTGGAACGGATTAATCCTATAACGAACGAATGCTATAACGAACGAGGTTCTGGAACCAATTACGTTCGTTATAGCATACCCCACTGTATTACAAAGAGTAAATGGAATAAGTTCTCTTAATCATAGTACAGTACTGTATATCTTACCTCAAATCTACCTGCAATGTTACCAAATCCACCCACTAAGACAATATTGCCTACTGGATTGACAAGGATGGTGTTTCTAGCTCCTGAGCCAAACTCAGCGATGGCTTCACATTTATGGTTAAAGAGTGTGGCCTTGGAAGGCATTGTACCATATACTGTGAAGAATTCCTGTCCACTAGGACACCATGCCACGGAGTGAATATTTCCAGGTTTGGCTGAAAAGGAAAATTTTATTTTTTTTGAGAATCTCCAGTTTTCTGTCACCAGGTTTTGAGAGTTTATACTTGTAATACAGAAAAAATATACAATTTAATGGTGAATATAGCAAGAAAAATTAATGATAGCATCACTCATATCTGGGTCAAAATGAGTCTATGGTCAAATTTGGCTGCTTTCCTGTTCAGCCTGTGTTACATGCCTCAGTCACACAAATTTTAGAAATTTCTAAGTCTGTGCTCCCAGAAAAAATCTCAGAATCATCACTGGCACTGACCAGACCATATGGTCAGGGACTGGGCTTCACTCTTCTACAATCCATCTCTGAGTTAAACACTACAGTATTTACCAACATGTTACTTTCCATTCTCTTTATTAATCTTGTATAATCACTCAAAACAGTATGTCATCCTTTTGGTACAACTCTAAATACTTACAAAATGTGATCCTTGTTGAATCTCCTCGAGTGTTGAGGGAGAAAAGCATGTGTTCACCGTAGTATGAGTGCCCTGATTTATCCATCTCAGCAGCAGTTAAAAGCAAACATGCAGTGGATTGCTTGTTCCAGAAGTGCTCTATAGTATCAACCTGAAAGTCAAACAAGAGGCTCAAAACAAGTGAAATAATCTTTGATTTTAGACTTATTACAGAAGACCCCATTGGGAGGACCCTATTGGTGGGGTAAGTAACCAGCAAGTAACGGGCATCTCGTTGGAGAGCACACCTCACTAAACCCAAGAATGAAAAATTAGCCAACCTGTGTTAGTGTAATATGCTCATTGTTGATATGAACAGTTGTGCCTCCCTGCTAATATGGATGTCAAAATACTGTAATTGCTTAGTTAGTCCTGTACTAAGAATTTTGTTTTAATGTACAGTGGGGTATGCAATAACGAACGGATCCTACTACGAATATTCCTATAACGAACGGTTTTACCTATAAAATTGAGAATGCTATAACGAACGAAACTCCTACAACGAATTTTTTTTTTTTTTACTAATTTATTGTTTTTTTATTACAAGTATTAATGATGTTCTTTATTTCAGGGGTTTAGATGCATATTTATGCACTTTTGTAAAAATTTTACAATTTTATATTATATTTTTCAGTATTAAGTCGTATTTGGGGGCCTGGAACGGATTAATCCTATAACGAACGAATGCTATAACGAACAAGGTTCTAGAACCAATTATATTCATTATAGCATACCCCACTGTACAGTATTCACATTTCAAGGCTTTGGGCCTTGAACCAAATTCCACAATTTCTAAGTGATAAAACCATGATGTCAAGACTGCAGACTTTTGCATGCCTTAGTTCTTGACTGATAATGCCTTCTAGGTCTAGGAAAAACTTAAAATTAGGGCAAAATTATCATTGACTGTACTGTATATACAGAACAGTACAGTACTTATTTATTAGGTTGTAACCTCTACTCCTTTACTATCTTATTCCTGTAATATATATGAACAATTCTCTTGAACACTCTTGGGTATTCCTACGCAAAATTGCGTATGATGTAAATTTTCGCTTTAGAGTTTTCACACATAAATTTGCAAATGATGTAAAAAACTAAATTAAAAAAAGTTTTACGTTTGTGTATGAATGCTAAACACGCAAAACACATGTGGCAATGTCAGTGTGATCTGGCATTTCAAAGTCACCACACCAATCTCAATTTTGCGATTCATTTACTCATAACAGTGTTGTGAGAGTTTTGAACTATGCCTCGTGTTGCTGGAGAGAGTGAAGTGGTGGTAAAAAGTAAGAAGTGCAAGAATATTGCACCACATGGCGATAGTGTAGTTCCTCCTGATGCCACTTCCTAGCAAAATATTAATTTTTTCACAACTTTTCTTCTATTACTATTTTTTCAAAAATATATATGCTTTATAATGGAATAAGGTTCATATTGCAATCACATGAAATAACGAAGGTATAAATTGATGTTCGCACATTTTCATTAAGAGTAAACAAAAATATTGCATTTTACTCGTTCTTACGTATTGAAGTAATTATTTTATTGCGATTACTTGTAGAAAATTTATTTACAATGCTAATGCAACAAATCCCAGCTTTTTATCTCAAACAGCAAGCTTGCTATGACTCATTATATACAATTATCTCTCTTGTGGTGCAGTCGAGTGAGGCGAGGCAAGTGAGAAGCCAGACCCCGAGAGTCTACCGAAAGAGTGACTACCCAAGAGTGTTAATACAGAGCTTGCTCAACATTCACTCGACTGACTTTTCAGTGAAATAATAGCTTCACGCACTCAACCACGTATCACCTGACAATCTTCAAAGACAAATTTCAAGACTAAGAACTCACTTATTGATTTAAATTATTTCTTATGTTGTCTACAGCTCCCATGCTATCTTGAATTACTAAAGACCTACAATACAATACACTATATAATAACATATTTTCAATACCTTGAAGAAACTTTTATTAGCCAAGGCATTAGAAGTTTCCTTAAAGTTTGGGTATCGATAAAGGTGGACGTATGCTGGAGCTCCCTTCACACCTGTGAATAAGACAAAAAGAACAAAACACTGACAAAAATTCATCATAAATAAGACATGAATATCTTAATGGATTTTCTGTTTGCCCACAAACCTTTGCCTAAAATAATGTCAATACACATACAGTACTCTTTATGCTACCTAGCAAGTTATTGGAATGTATCCATTTTTTTAATTGAACAATTCTTTCCTAAGCTTTATAAAATAAATGACTTACTTTTGGAGTATAAAATGTAATAATATAATCTGATATTGTACAACTAGCTTCAATGTAATATTAGGTTACAATGATCTAGACTAAAGGTATATGGATTAGGCAGCTGGACATTATGAAAGACACCAAACGAGGGATAGTTTATGATGCTCTTGACTCCAACCAACATACACCATAATAAAAAGTAACAGTAGCAGTGACAGGAAAAAACTTCAAAGTTATTCAGATATAATTTTATCTGCAATATAAACTGTACACCTTTCTTTAATGCTTCATTCTATCTTAGAATCTCTTCCTTGGTGATTCTTCCATATGAGGTGTTTGTCCCCAAGGATCTATACCAGAGCCAATCCTGCCATGTCTATACAAGTTTTAACTCTCTGGTCCAGCATGTTATGAATCTGGCCCCATTAGTTTACAGAGCAGCTGCATTAGCAGTGCCAAGCTTCTTTATATCTCCATCAGTGTTTCTCTGCTATACATTCTTGTCTTTGCTCATATTTTAGCCCGACAATATGTCTTCTAAGAGACCAAGAGGTGGCACCATGGGCACTGCTACTAATTTTCCTCTTAGGACCCATGATTATGTTGAAATTCACCAGTAGAGAGCAGCTGTGACCTATATTATGGTCATTTTTTAACTAGTAATTAGAGAGAGAGGGAGAGAGAGAGAGACTTAAAATATTAACACTTACTAGGCACAAAAAAGGTAACACAATGATTGTTTGTGGATGGAGAGATACTGAAGGACCTCACTTTCTGAAGAATCTTCTTTTCAACAATATTTTGGAGGTCATCTGCTTTATAAAAATGTACTTCATTGGTAACGTTGCGTGCAAATATTGTTTCATCTTTTGTCCACTGTGGTTGCCTGAAAGATAAAAATATAGTTGAAAATTCCCTAAAGCACTAACACCAAACACATGCTTTGCACAAGGGGAAAAAAACCTATTTCTCAATGCTGAAATCTGATGGAAAGTTTGGAACTAAAAAGAGGTCAAAATATCCTTCCATACTACCTGTCATACATACAGTACTGTACCAGTCCCTGTTTGTGGAGACAACTTCTTCCCCCTTTTAAAGGCATTTTCCCACAAACTCCCTTCACCTGTTTTCATTTCCTTATTCTTACTGTCAAAACAGATGTGGTGTTACAGTGATCCTCTTCCCACACACCTATATAGTCACCCCATCACTACACACAATCTCGGTTGTCACTTACAGTCACACTCTCCAGGCATCATGCACATCGCTGCTTCCTAAATGACCATCTCCTCACTCCAATCTTTTAATGTTTTCTTGGTCTTCCCCTTTCCCTCCTACCATCCAACTCTGAATTATAATCTTCAATCTTTCATTTGACCTTTTCTCAAAATGTCCTTATCACATGAGCAAACCCTGATTCACTCTGACTTGAGCTTATTTTCCTCTCATATGTTTTCCTCGTTTGTTTAGGTCTTATTTTATCCAAAGAATGTTACATATGTTACTTTTAATCTGCTCTTTCCTCCTGCATTCCGAATCCAAACTTTTTTTTTTACAATACAGTCACCCCTTGGTTATAGCACACTTGATTATCGCAATTTTCGTTATCACGTCTCTATCAAAATCTGCACATCTACTGTTATAGCGCATTTTTCAAGCTGAGAATTTCATTATTATGCAGTTGCCTCCAGGAAAAATTGGGGTTGGGTCTTGGGTGCCTGGAACCAATTAGAATAAATCCCATAGGTTCTATACTTTCGTTATCGCGTTTTTCGTTATCACGCACTCGGCGCGATCCCAATTAGGCGTGATAACCAAGGGATGACTGTACTGTACTGTAATGGACAATCCTACTGATAGAGTAAGCAATAGGTTTGGGATGTAATCTTTGCAGTCATGGAAATGTGACAGCTCCCTAAGTTACAGAAGCTTGAATTCCAGAAATTTGCATTAACAAAATCCAAAAAATATGGAATGAGTTTTGAGGTGAAGAAAAATCTACATTAACAAAAATAATAAAAACTTCCACAGATTTCTGGAGTTTACATAAATAAGGATAAAAGATAAAATCTTGTCAATCTCCAATATTTCACTAAGAAAAAAAAATTGCTCACTGCACATTGCAAATAAAATTAGATATTTAAACTACAGTACAGTACATCACTACTATCATCAATGTTTTATGGCCATTTTCCAGGCTTATGTGGGTTAGCCTTGATTACCTGAAACCAGCTCTCCATGCTGTGTGGTCTCTTGCAGTCCTCTTGTTAGCATCAGAACCCTAATGTCATTTCTTACAAACTTTCCCCATGCCATTATTGGCCTACCCCTGGCTCTCCTTCCCACCACATTTTGATTCTCTCCCCATGCCCAACCATCTTGGCCTGCTAGCCCCTATGCAAAACAATACCGTTATCTGTAAATTAAATGATATACGGTACAGTATTAAGTGTTAAAACTGACAAGGACGGTACAGGAAGGCTGACAGAGCTAGGTGGCTGGCAGCACTCACTTGCTCACAGCAATGCCAGGTCTTTTTGGACAAATTCTGCTTTATAGTTTGCAATACAGTACCTTGTATAAACATTTACTCTCTTGTTAAACTATGAACCATTTTCTCTCAAAATTCTTTACAAATTAATCATGGAGGACAGAAAAAAAGATGAGAGATATTAATGAGTAAAACTGAGGATTGGAAGGCAAAGGCAAAGAAGAAATTAATATGGAAGAATGAAATTTAAAGCTGGGTCTTCTGAGACACAATATCTGCGAGAAATAATACAAACACCCTGATAATGTCTGGAGCAGAGAGCCATGGTCACCAACCCTCAGACTGACACCTTGTTTAAATTATTGATTTATGCCTTTTACAGTACAGTATATATCAGAGAGGAAGGTGTGGAGATAAGTGAATCATGCAAATGTTGTACCACAATTTGAAGACGTGATCATTTACTAGCAAGAACCTACTAGATGTACAGTGCTTACCAATTTACTTGACTCTGCTGGAAGAAGGCTTTGAGTTGTTTCTTCCCTGATACATCATAAACACTTAAATTTGGTTGCACTTGACTCTGATCCAGTGTTTCTGGAAGAACAAAAATAAAATATATCATCGACAAAATATTCACATAAAGAAAGAAAAGATTCACTTACACAATGCATATACAGTAAATACAAATCATTTACGAACAACTGTAAGTTAATACAAATAAAATGTTTTCATCATTATCAAATATATCAAAGATGTGTATTAATAAATATTCTGAAAAATAAACACTTATACCAGGGGTGTCAAACGTAAGGCCAGTCCCCTCAGCCTCGAAGACAACATGTGATGATGACCAGACTTGGTCTTAATGATGTGGCGGGTGTTGTTCAATTGTTTTGTACTGATAGCGGTATTGTAGATTTTTTTGGGGGGGGGCTATGCACATGGGTGTCTGACTGGCCAGGAACCTGTGCCTGAATTCCATGTTATAATGATCCTGATTTATGATATTTCGACCTGCGATGGAAATTTCAGGAACTGAACCCCATCATAAATAAGAGAAAATATAGTGTTATTATTTGAAAGACTTACTGACATAGGACTCCCAGACACCCAGATAGCTGCCAGAGGGTGAGAAACATATCTCTTGGGCACGTGGATGCTTCAGGGATCCAATTCTCTGCCATGAAGGAGCCTCAGCCACATACACCCTACAACAAAATACATTGTATATATATTCTGTATATACAGTATATCTGTATACTCTATATATACTGTATACAATAAAACCTCGATAAATTGGACTAATGGGGGGGGGGGTTGTTGAAGAAAACATTGTTTATCTTGACTGTTTAAAGAAAATCAGTTGTTATACTTGTACAGTAATGTTATTACTGTGTTTCAAATACTAAGGCCTTTAAGTGCATTTAAAACACTATTACATCAACACTAAAAAAATATGAAACAACTTTCTGGGTTGAGAATCCAACCATAAGTTTGGTCGCCGAAAACTATTTTCACAGACAATTGTTACGTGCTGTAAAGTAACCGCAGAATTTGTCCTATGAATAAAGAGAAAACTGTATACAGTCAACCCTCGCTTTACGCGGTCCCACATTCCGCGTTTACACGGTACCCTGCCGAAACAGGAATGCTCACATTCCGCGGTGCGTGTACCCCTTTACGCGGAGAGCGGCTGGCGAGCCGTGCCATTTTTGGATCCAAACCTCCCGACATCTCTCCCGCCATCCGCCATGTTGTGTAAGCGGCGCGAGCATGGTGCGCACAAGGTCGCCCAGTCATCAAAACATTACCGAGTTCTTCACCCGCCAACCACCACAGCCGGCCCAAGTCAGTGATAGTGATAATTATAGTGAGGATATGGACTTATATGGACTTTGAGGGGTTTGACAAAGAGGCCCTGCAAGCCTCTGTGGTGGATAGTGATACAATTGATACAAGTGATACAGGTGAGGGCCAATAATCTGCCCTCTGCCTCGGAACCAACCGCCCATCCCCGTGTGCCCAGCCATCTTTTCTACTAATGTAAGTGTTAAAAAAACTAATATTATGGATATTTCTATTAATTATTAATTGTGTGTGTGCATACCATCATAAAGTTCAGATAATATTTTTACTACAACATAATTGTGTGTCGTCAAAAAGTGGAGTTTGGGGGTCGGCCCGGTCTCTATTTCAATTAATCCCATATGTTATGTTGTTCACTTTATGCGTTTCTCACTTTCCGCGGTACCCTGTGGGTTGAATTAACCGCGTAAAGTGAGGGTTGACTGTACAGTACAGTACTACGCAAATTGTATATAAACTAAATTATCGCTTTAGGGTTTTTATACTCAACTTTGGCTAGGTTAATATTATGGGTTATGTCCAGTATGACCAATAAGTTTGTAAGGAACATAAAACATGTATGCACATAAAAATAAATTTGAGAAGCATCTACCATTGAAAAAGTATTCTTCTTAAAGAAAATATTTTAACTTACTGGCCATCAGCAATCCATGCAAATCTCTTTCCATTTTCAGAAAAGATAAATGCCTTTACTTTCCCGCTAAACCCTTCAAAGTTTGAAGAATTGCACCCAAAGCTCTGGGCCCCATCAGTAAACCGTATGTCATCAGTGGTATGAACTGCAAAGAAAAAAACCTCATGTAGTCTGCTACACTGTAACACAATCTAGTGGGAAAAATAAAAATAAGTAACCACATGCTCCTGGAGGATTATTTTCTGGATCAGTTTATTTATGGGTCTACTGAAAGTCAATAACACATGCACACAGATGCTATTACACTTACTGGTTTGTGGATAATAAATCCATTATTAAATTGGAGGAGTCATCCTGGTCCCATTATATAATGGGATTCAATGGAAAAAAAATTGATTTAAATTTTTTTTGCTTAACAAAAGGTTGCCCATTCATATAGTGTATCAGGGTTGGCCTGTGTGGGTTAATCACTATCTTGGTCAATGACCCCCTTTTCTGATTACCCAGATGACCGAAACGATAATAATACCAAGTTTTCAGTATACAGTATATTATAGTTTTCAGAGTGGATATTTTGACGTGACCGGCTAAGTTTCTACTCGCGCTATTTTGCTGTGTGCGTTCTGATTGCCGACATACTTTCTGTTTAACATGACGGGGGTCCGCCCCCCAGCTAGGAAGTTAGGTAAGATTAGCCAGTTTTCTTTGGTTGGTTTAGTTAGGTTCTGTTAAATGTTGCTTCTTTTATAATGATAAGAACATCTGTGGAAAACATGGCCCAAATAGAACAACAACTTCTGGTTATGTATTTTTATACCTACACAATGACTGATTCACGGTGAAATAAATACCATATGCTGCCAGAGTCACGGTCAAATAGTCTCCTGTTGTTTACTGGTAATGGACGATTAGCCAAAGAGGGAGCACTCATGGTAAAATAGCATAGAAGGAACTTAGCCGATCACGGTAAAATATCCACTGCTTGTTTAAAAAAAAAACTTATTTCTGACTCTCCAAAGACATTTCGACATAAATCAGGCATGCCAACAAACCAATCTTATTTGTCCTCTGAAAAATGTTATCTCTATTTTTCTTGATTATTCCAAGATATGAAGAGTAATTAGATCATAAAAATGGTGAAATTATTTTGACTAGATCCCCCGACCCACATCCTTTAACTGGCATCCAGCCGTACATGTTACGGCACTGTTGACGAGATGCTGTATATATAATATGTACGTACATATGTTTGCCTTTCCCATCTCCTCAGACCACACTATTAGACGTACTTTATGAGTTAATGTTCGAAGGCAAGTGAAAAAAATTTAAATTTACCTGCAAAATGTGTCATAATGACAATCGGACGGATACCATGCCGCACACAGCACTCCAGTTATCCAGCAGAGACTGGTCCAGCCCCTCACAGCAGCGTGTTCACCAATGGCAACACATCTTTCCTGGCAGTAACAAGGATGACACCTATAAATATTTACTTCTTTTTGCTGTTCAAATTTATTTATACCACAACATTTTCTCCTACAAAAATTTTTCTGACCACCAGTATTTATTAGGTAAATTGACTTTTCAACAAAATACAGCAATATATATATATATATATATATATATATATATATATATATATATATATATATATATATATATATATATATATATATATATATATATATATATATATATATATATATATATATATATATAAAACTTGGTTAATCCCGAGTGTTAGTAAAAATAAAGCATAAAATATATATAATATCCAGCAGAGTCGGACGTCAATACAATAAGCGCCTGTTCATTGTCAACTTTTACTTACTTTTACTTTTATCCTCTTCGCCACTGATCGGCTTGTTAGCCGCTTGGGCGATAGGCCACGTCTCTGTCACGCACTGTTGGCAAATACTGGGCATGCACCGGCTCCTGAATGTACCTGAACCTGCTCCAGTGTTGGTCAAGTCTTGTCTTGAAAGAGCTCACACTCGGTGCCGTCACAACACTTTCTGGTAGATTGTTCCAAGAGTTTACAACCCTCACTCCGAAGAAGTTTGCCCTCACGGTTTTCTGAACTTGCGGCTTCTTCAATCTTGAGCTGTGACCCCTTGTGGGGCGAGCGTCCGCCAGCTCCAAGTAAGGAAACTCAACTGAGTAGTGCCCCCTGAGATGCTTATACACTTCAACTAGGTCCCCCCTTGCCCGTCTGTAGTATAAGCTATGCACGTTCAGGCGCTCCAATCTCTCAGGGTAGCTGAGGTGCCGAAGTGCAGGCACCAGTCTGGTGGCCCTCCTTTGAACATTTTCAACCAACTGACAGTTCGGGAAATGTGTTGCGCTGTTCCTTTGATTGATTGACTGCCCAGTGACCAGAAGATGATCACAGGTAATGAAGAGAACACCAGAGGACTGCTACGGGCCCCGCAGTGACCGTACTACTAGTCTAGTCTACTATTACTTTGTACATGCCAGGCAATGAGAGCGGCACGTTTATCTTTGAAGAGTATGTCGATTTCCTGATTATTTTCATCAAACCATCCTGGTGTTTTCTTTCGTTATGGCCGAGAGTCTTGCTCAGCTTTTTGTGATTTAGGTTGTTTGTTGCTGGGTCATTTATTAGTCCATCGTCGATCTGCTCTTCAAAACCCTGTTCTACCTCTCGATCCTCCAGTCGCTTGGTGTTAAAACCTTTTCTGGAGGCTTTTTGCCTTTTGTTTTGGGGTGACGTGAAGGGAGAGTTTGGCTCTGATGAGCTAATGATCTCTATCACAATGGTCTGAGCCACGAATGGCTCGGGTGATGAGAACATCTCGGCAATCTCTTTCTCTGACAATGATGAAGACAGTGAGATGCCAGTGTTTGGATCGTGGGTGTTGCCAAGAACCTTGAACTTGTCGGCCTGCCTATATAGGGTATTGGTGATAGTGAGGTAGTGTGCAGCACACTTGCTGACGAGGAGTAGGCCGTTGGGATTACACACTCCGTTTCTCCTTATGGTTCCCTGCCATATATCAGCATCTCTGCCAACTCTGGCAGTGAAGTCTCCTAGGAGCACAACCTTATCTTCTCTGAGGGTGGAGGTTAGCACTGTCAAGGTGTTGGGGCGTATGCACTGCTTAAGGAGGCATAACATGAGTAATTCAGTGGGACTGGGAGCGTCATGAGGCGCTCGTTGATCCTAACAGGAATTTCTGTTAGCCTACTGTATGTAGGATGCATCGGTGGATGGCAAAGCCAACTCCAACCACTCAGTCGAGTGTCCTTACTTGTAGCTGGCGGACGCTCGCCCCACAAGGGGTCACAGCTCAAGATTGAAGAAGCCGCAAGTCTAGAAAACTGTGAGGGCAAACTTTTTCGGAGTGAGGGTTGTAAACTCTTGGAACAATCTACCAGAAAGTGTTGTGACGGCACCGAGTGTGAGCTCTTTCTAGGCAAGACTGGAGCGAGTTCAGGTACATTCAGGAGCCGGTTCATGCCCAGTACTTGCCAACAGTGCTTAACAGAGACGTGACCGATCGCCCAAGCGGCTAATGAACCGATCAGTGGTTAAGAGGATAAAGTAGTAAGTAAGAACGAACATTGACCTTCGTCGTCCACACTTGTTATTGATTGTTTACCAAGTGCAAAGGTAAGTGGTGCGATGTATGATGATGTAAACATTATTGTCATATAATCAATTATTCTTTGAAATGAATGGACATATAATACATAAAAAAAAATTCCACGACATAATTTCTTGACTTATCGAAAAACTAACACCTTCTGGCAACTTTCCTCAGTCAGCATTACCAGATATCGCTACAGTACCTTTCTTCAGTCGTCAGTCACTGCTTCCTCGCTAGCACTGCAGGGGGGTAATTCGTTGGTCTATTGTGGTGGTGAGAGTTAACTCCTTTTAACAATGTCAGGTGAGTCTGAGTATTTCGAAATGTTGTTGACGACTTGCACCTTCGAATAATAGTTTCATCGACACACGCTCCTCGTTGACCAGAATAACATAACACATTCCAGAGTCGGATTCTTGGATCTAGCGGAGAGCAGTGTGTGGGTGCGTTGCTTGGGGCGTTGCTTGGGAGTCCAAACATATTCTGTAGAGTGACTTTACAAGGATATAGTCGAGACTCATTTGACGCCTGCTTCTAAGATTTATCAGAAAGAAGCATAAGTTATGTATATAGAAATTTATATCATCGTGATTATAAAGTAATGGAGGGAGATAGGGGTTTTAACTTTATGAGCCCTAGGCCCTTAGCGACTAAGCGGGCATCACCTGGAAGCACTTGTTTGTCGGTGCGTGCTTTCCACTTAACGCGACAACTCGATCATGGATAAACGGATTTCAATAAAACTTGACATGATGATAATTTAACACCGTCTCTGACTGGTATGTGATTATTATTATTATTATTATTATTATTTTTTTTTTTTTGGGGGGGGGGAATTAAGCCAAAAGTTGATACCTAGTTAATAGATATTTGTATGCAGCTGATACTGACACGTAGGACATTAACATACAATAAATACTTACGCAGTAAACACTGACACAGGTTGGTAGGCAGACAGCACTGGGACGGGGCGGCCTAGTGGACATAACTATTGTCTCTTGTTTTAAAAGTTGCAGATTAGCATTCGGGGCAACTCCGGTTGAGAAGGAGCACCTGGCTCACAGTTGAGGAAGTGAAGGACATCTAGTGCTGGTCTTTAAGCCAGTGGCATCCATAGTGAACTTTTGTGACTGAAAGTTTTCGAATTGAATTTTTACACTGTTCATTACCACTCTCTTCTTCAGGCTCATTTCTTGTGCATGTTACTACAATAGTCTTCAGTGGATGTCTTAAAAGAAGGAAAATGTAGAGTTGTGTAACACGAGGGTTAGACCAGTAAGACTTTTTTTCGCAAATTATCCCCGAGTCACATAACAAGGAGCTGAAATACAGCTGACACTGATACACAGCTGGTTCTGGGACAGTGAAAAGTTGACACCTGATACACAGCTGCACTCGCAAGCAGGAGGCATGTTCGACTTCAGGGCAGGGTAAAACTTGACCAACACTGGAGCATGTTCAGGTACATTCAGGAGCCGTTGCATGCCCAGTACTTGTCAACAGACGTGACCGATCGCCAAAGCGGCTAACGAGCCGATGAGTGGTGAAGAGGATAGAAGAAGAAAGATAGGCACAATTTTTTGCAGTGGTTTGCCTCTGTTTACCCAGCAGCAGCAGTGATTGGGTACCTGGGTATGTTCTAAGGTAATGGATAGCCAGTGCAGTAAAAAAAAATTCCGGTCTTCTCGGAGTATTCCTTGAACACCTAGTCATACAGCTTGTTATTTAGCCTGTGGTTGTTGTGTTGGCGACAGCTTCGATCCACACCTTAGAGAAACTCACGCCTAGATGGCCCTCGGGCTGGCCATGAGGGGTACCAGTAACCATTACAGTGTGAGCCTACCAATCATCGCTGGTGTCCTCTACAAACACTGGACAATAGACTTCATAACAAAGTAACAAATAACAGACCAACCGCCCGAACGAATGAACAGTAAGCTGCTAAGTGATGTAATTATAACTTTATTTAAAAATAAAAACACCAGTTCACCGACGCTGGTAATTAGCTGAGGCACAGCTGACATTGGTACTGCACTTAGCTGACAACTGCTACTGTGATACACAGTTCTTATTGGTACACAGTGACAACCTGTACTAACTGTATATAGTTGATAATTACTGTATACATAAAGACACTGGTGGTAAATAACAGTCGATATCTGGCAACATTCCTCAGTCAGCATAAAGTATTGCCAGATGTCGTTACATATTCTGCAGTGACAGTCACTCCCCCACTTCCTGAGGTGGTAGGAAATATTTGGGTGGTCCATTGTGTGAGTGAGTTATTCCTCCTTTGTGACAATGTCAGGTGAGTATTATTAAATGTTAAAAATATAAGGTATACTATATGCAAGACTGAATAAGAGTTTTATCGAAACGTCACACACGTCCTGCATCAAATATAAATATTTGTTGGATCTTGCACAAAACTGCGTTTTATTTAATCTCATTTCCACCACTTTTTCGCTTACAAACCGTTCGAGCGAGCGGTCTGTTATGTGTTAAATCTTTCTTTGTCCAGTTATTCGAGGAGGACCCATTTGACGCCTGCTTCTAATATTTGTTTCAGAAAGAAGCATAAATTATGAATATATAAATTACTACCATCATAATTTAAAGTAGTGGAGGAAGATAGGGACTTCGTGGCGTAGCGGGCGGGACCTGGAAATGCCTGCTTGTTTCTGTGGAACGCACACACAGGCACAGGTCCTAATACTTTTGTCTCTCCTACCCCACACATCATCTTTCAGTGAACAGTGACAACCAGAAATACGATTTTGTATATCATGCAAATCTTTTCACTCCAAATGTTCTATAATTTTATTTCACTCAATTTAAATTGCTTGAATATCAAAGTGGTTATGTTTTTCAGATATTGACTACGATGAGCTGTCAGCTAACCTCGACGGTCTTGTTGTGTTGGACGTGAGGAGCCGTGAAGAGGTAAAGAAAAATGGACAAATCCCCGGCTCTCACTGTCTCCCAGGTGAGTGTCCTGCTGTAGGATCAAAGCTTATACAGAATCTTTGGTTATGTAGCTAATTTATAGAGTGTACCTGAAGAAAATGCAATTTAGGGATATAATGTAGAACAATCATTCAATTTAGTGTTTAGATATACAGTACAAGAGAACTGTTTACAAGTTTCATTCTATTTAACGGGATGAGAACAGTCAGGTCGACATCTACAGTGATGGAGACTTACATAGGAGAGTGCCAGTGTACGGACGGCGACATATTGGATAAAAAATTAACAGGTTTGAAATATACACACATATATGATGATAACCACATAGGAAATAAGAAAACACGAAGTTCCCAAGCGCTATCGTGTACAGACTGTACTCACCCCTGAAGATGTCTTTTTTTATTAGTGACGGAACTAGAGGAAGCCTTAGATCTGGATGAGAAGAGTTTCCAGGAGAAATATGGGTTTTCTAAGCCTTCAAGTGATCAGTCACTTGTGACGCACTGCATGATGGGTGGACGAGCTAAGAGGGCTGGCGACGCTCTCATTGCTAAAGGACTCCAGGCAAGGTACGACTCATATAATATAGATCATTGCTTAATCTGGTTAATGGGTCACTCAAAGGGGAATGGCATTTGTATTTGGGTGAATGAGACTTAGGGGTGAATGCAGCAATAAGGGCGAATGAGTTAACTAAAATGTATTGATTTTTGCCGAGTATAAAACTGGTGGTAACTGGATAAAGCTACTTAACGTAAGTGGCATCTGTGAAGACTGCAGACTGCCAATGATAGGAACGTTAAATTTTATTTATTTTGTAAGAACCGATCATTTCTGATAGTTGCATTATATGGTATTATTTTCACTTCTCAGGTCATCAGTGTTATGTACCCAGTAATACTTTGCGTTGTGAAAACAGCAAAAATATTGAGTGAGAGGTGGCGCCAGGGCTAGTTTTACCGCCTTGTTCTCAAGCAACCTTTCACTGGTGTAAACAAGCTTTACAATGTGTACATGCACCAGTATATAATGATGATTGTCATTATTTGTTTTTTGCTCAGGTGATCAAACTAAGTAAACAGAAAACGGCTAAGAAAATATTTTGTGATTAAATTTTAAGGCAGTATGTGTATGTGTGTGTGTGTGTGTGTAATAAACATTACTTCTAATGTTTTCTTTATGAAAACTATAACAATGAAAGATTTGTTTTGTTCTTTAGAATGCTCTTCATATATTTATTTTTGTTTCTGACAATTGCAATAAACAAAAAGGAACCACTTAAGAAATTAGTTCATATTACCTTTCCAAATGATGTGACGACATGAGTTATATAAACTGTAAGAAAGTGAGATATAAATAAGAGGTCAAATCGGGGTGAATGAAATATGTTGTAATAATGACAAAGGAGGAATGGCACTGAAATAGTTAAAGAAGCACACATATAGATATCCTTCATGAAGTTTAAACGCTAGTCACCATGTACCAACGCATTTCTAAAAACTATGAACTAAATAATATAATTATTTTTCAGTCGGAAATTATTATTTATTTTATTTTTTTCTGGTGGCAGGGTGTATGTTGGGTCTTTCAATGACTGGAATGCAAAGGGAGGCAAAGTGGATCCTGGGTGTCCATTCGAGCCCGCCAGCTAGAGGGCAGCACCGGATGGACCATCGACACCTCGGCGCCTGGACACTACTGCATTGCAAAGTTGAAAACGGGAGAGGAATATATTTGTTGTTTCAATTATTTGGTTAGAGTTTGTTACCTTTTGTTGTGTCGTTAAACACTAGCGGCGAGACTAATAAGGGTTTCCCAAGATAGAGCCTCTATATAAATTTATTGGTTATTATTTCACAACTGTTTTGAGTCATTCAATTTATGTGCAGTTAGAACCTAATATCTTCTACCGCAGATCATGTGAAAATTTGAGCGCAATGTACAATATGGAATAAATTAATTGGAATGTTATTATTGTTTTGAATAGTCCATGTTTACATGTTGTAGTGGATACCTCCCCTACAAACGCTGTTTGTCGCTGAGTAGCCGACCCTGCGAATTCCCTAGTGTATGCCTCGTGTCTAGGTCAACCAGCGCAGCCTTACATGACAGAGGTCAACTATTAAGCCACGCCTACCTCCGCTATATAAGACCTGACCTCGTGGTGACCGCTCTTTTTCTATCTACACCAACCAGCAAGCAACACCTCCTCCTCCTGCCTGGCGGCCCTCGCTCCCGCCGGCGAGCATGGCGACCCACAAGCTGGTCCTCCTCTGAGCATCTTCACCAACCGGCTCTCTCTACATCACACTTGTAACCATGCTGCCTTCCCAGCACCAAGGTGCACTGTACATCCAATACAACAGGTATACAGAGAGCACATTGTGAGTTTCCTTGCTCCATCCCATCCTGAGTGCGAACCGAAACATAACGTACCCCACAAATGGTGACCCCGGAGTGACCACTCACACAGGATGGAGGAGAAACATCTCACAACCCCACAATGTCAGTGGGCGGCGGGACCGAGGCTTCGTTAGACAGTGACCCACCTGACTCCACTCTGCTCTGCCCTACCCAAATAAGTTGCTCATTCACTATCAAGATTAGGAGGTCTATATATTACTCCTGTGATTAGTTTTTACCTACCATCGGTTATTTATATCCAAATTGTTTCTGTATTCAGATCAGATTTTATTTCACACTTCAAATTATCCCTGACATAGATTGCTACTCCGCTTCCTTTCCTAATCTGCCTATCGGCATGGAATAATTTGTAACCAGCAATTTGGTATTCGACAGGTAACTTGAGTGAGTCTAAGTTTATCTATGTTTCGGTGAATGCTATTACTCGTATATCTATTTTTTCGGTACATACCAACGACCTGATTTCATCCATTTTGTTTCTCATACTTCTACTGTTTGCACAGTAGACGTTTTAGTTAGTCATGATCTGAATCCTCTCTCTGTCTCATTTAGGTTTTAACTCCTTGCCTAAATTAATTTTGTCATTCCTAGCACTATTTCTCTGTAACCCTTCACGTCGTTTACCCGCTGCAGTCTCCTCCACCCCAGTGCTCACATGTTCCCCGGCAGTTTAAACATTTCTACATCTTTTGAACTGCCCTCTCGAGAGAGCCAGCCAGGGTTGCCACCCCATCCCTAGACAGATGCACCCCATCCCTAGCATAAAGGTCCCATCTGCCGTAGAAGTTGTCCCAGTTGTCAATGAATGGGACTGATATTGTCTTGCAATATCTGTCAAGACGGCCGTTGACACCAACTGCCCTTGACAACCATTCATTGCCAACTCTCCTTCTAGGCAGGACACCACATATGATAGGGATCCCTCCCTTAGACGTAATACGTTCTATAGCTGTCTTGAACTTATCAAGAAGCTCCTCACTCCTACACAGGTCAATATCATTGCCTCCTGCACTGAGGCAGATAATGGGCTTGTTCCCATTACCAAACAAGATATTGTCCATCCTGTCAACTATATCCCCCACCCCAGCTCCTGGCAAACAAACCCTCATCCTATTTTTACCACAAAAAGCTCTGTCCAAGTTCCATACCTGGGAATCGCCAACAATTAAGGTTTTAGTACCTTCCTTGTCCCTGACTATGCTAACGTCCAATTCGTCTATCAAAGGACTGAAGGAGTTATTACACTTAGCTGTTGTTGTCGTATCCTTGGTGTGTTTTTTCACCCACCAGTTTGGTTGTCCCTCTCTTCACAACATTCCATTCGCCTGAGTTTTCGTCAGACACGGGCTTTCCTTGTCTCGTGCCTTCCTTCATCCTCGCTATCACTTCCTTTAATTTCAAGATTTCTTCCTTGGCTCTCTCTAGCTCGGCCCTCTGAAGGGCACAGCCCTGTTCACAAGTAGCACAAGTCATTACTGACAATTAATCCCCGGGAGCTAAGTCTGCCGTGACCTTTCCTCTAGCAAGGTCAGAACATAACTGAACGGGGTCAGAACACAACACATCAGGTAAGGTAAGGTTAGGATTACGGTAATTTAATCATCAGGTGAAATAAGCGGGGATTCCTAAAATTAATGAGACCCAAAGAAGTAATTTCAGTATAACAGTGATGGATTACAACATCAAGTGAGATAATCTGAAACATATTCACGATTGAGGAAATAATTTGCTACATGTTACGCGAGGTTTCATGTAGTTTATCTCGGTGTTTATTCGCCATTTTTGGAAGAGCCATACTGGAGCCAGTGTGCTTTGTCTTCTCTATGACTTACAGTAGCTGGCGATATTATGCTTAAGCTATCTGCAAGCTCTTGACTAGCATGCACAAGAGAAAGAACTCTTCGTTGACAGTAGATGACGGAGGATAACGCATCACCACAAAGCATAGTTTCTTTCCATACCCGTGGAACAAAGAAAACGGTATTCATTTTTTTTTAAGTTTAACAAATTTATTGGCAGAGCTTGTAGTACAGTTTACCTATTCTGAGTAATTCAGTCAGGTCTTGACACTGAGGGTGGTATCACTTCTCACTGCCACGCAGGACAGAGGTTCATACACAAAAAAATACATCATATTCATTAGCAGTATATATAGGTCAGTGGATCACATACATTGGAGTCATATTCTAATTGAAGACTAATCAGTGTGGGCTAGCAAATTTGGGATAAACAGCAAGAATGTCCTCAAGCACCCCTGATTCAATGAAGTAATTACATAGATCAAGATACAATAAGTCAGGTGGCCTGAAGTCTTTGACAGTGTCACATTCAATAATATAGTGTTCAAGTGTATGCTTTAAAGGTTTATCACAAAGTTTACATGCTGAGTGTTCCGGTATGGGTACAGCGTTACTAACTTGCCAGATGTGTCTGTATCCTAGCCTAATTCTGGCCACGACTACATCACATTGTCTGGTTCTGTCCTTATGCTGGCCATACCGGTACCTCTTGTCACAAAATTTGTCATATTTACTAATGCTACAACTGTCAGGTCTCTGCATTTCTCACTTCTTCTAGATCAGAGTTCATGATTCTGACTTGAATGTTTTTAATTACAGCATTGGACAGGCCAAGGTCACGGTCAACATTTTCTTTCTTACATGCCTCATTGGCCAGTCTATCAGCACGGTCATGATACCTGATTCCAACATGGGATGGAATCCACACAAATTCGATACGAAAGTTGTTCTCATTGGCAGTTATTACATTCCTTTTAATATCACATACAACTTTAGACATAGAGCCTGGCGGGCTGTTCATTGATTTCAAAGCACTTTGAGAGTCACAGAATATCACCCCACCTCCATTTTCTTTGAGGTAGTCTGTGGCTAAGTAGATTCCAGTTAGTTCAGTTTGTGTTGTGCTGGCCCAGTTGTTCAGCCTTTGTTTGTTTGACACTATCATCTATTTTTCTTTATATATTACAATTGCACAGGCTGTTCTACCTGTGTTTGTCTGCACAGAACCATCAGTAAAAGCATAACATTCACTTGATTTAATACTCTCTATGTGTCTATTAATAGTTTCTAGTGTGACACATCTCACCACATCGGTGTTTAACATTTGCTTATTACCAACAGGAGTGTAATTAATAGGAACTGATATATCCAGCCAGGGAGGAGGCATTAATAGGTTCGTCTGGGGTGATTGGGACATTCAGTTTCAAGAGATCTGCAACACTTTTATGAAGCCACGCCCCAAAGAGAGTCTTTTGTGGAAGATTGGCGAGATGGTCGGGATTACTTAGATCAACTCAGTTTGAGTTGTAGTATTCAGTGATTCATCTGCTATAACTAAAACTTTACGTAAATTATTTCTCTGACTTCTGCATCATAATAAACCTACTAATTTTTCTCCTTAGTTTGAAAGTATAACACCATCATATGCAGAGCCGTCCCTAGGGTATGGCAATCCGTGCGACCGCCCCAGGCCCCGCGGCCCTTACCTCACCCAACACCAGAATTAGTGACTGGGTTAATCTGGCCTCACCTTACCACCCAGATTCAGGAGACCACCTGGAGGATTAGTGATCAGCACAGTTAGGCAATGCATGTGGTGACATGAGGTCAGGGTTAAAATTAAGCCACCCCGAAAAAAAAGGAATAATCATCAGACTAGAAAAAATGGCACATTCATTTTTATTTACATGTTTTTGCTAAAATGTTATAACTTAACCTACCCCAACCAAACCTAACTTAACCTAATCTAACCTATGCATGCTGTAGCTCATTAGCTCGTTTGTGGTTCGAAGTGAAATTTGTTATGCCATTTTTCCTATTATGCAAATTAAGCCATTTTTCCGGTGCCATTTTTTTCGAGTACCATTATTTTACTGTCGTACACAGCCCTCTATTATACCGTGGCCAGCGGGAATAGAGACAGATACAGAAAATACATCTCGGGTGCAGAGAAAAGGAAGAGAGAAGAAATCGAAATGTCAATGAAAAGTTCCCTTGAAAAATCTGTGTTTTCAGAAACAGCAGAAACTACGTTTACTGTAGTTCTTCCCTTATATCCCCGTGTATTAAGAGCCACTGTCATTTATTGTTTTCTTTTATTTTGTATCAAACAAGTCATGCAGGTCCTGACATCCTGAGTTTGATTATTACTTAAAAATAATCTTCCATCCGAATTTTGAATATCATGTAAATAAATATCCAACATAATATTCTTATCAGTTAACCAGAACTTCAAAACTCCTTACACTACTACAGAAGAACCACTGGTGCTGTTTACGATCATTATAACTCATCAGATTTGACTGACGACAACTTGGTGTACATGAAAGTAGTCCAAAAACTATATATAACCCGGTGATATAGACTATTCGCTATAAATTAATATCAATATTCATAAAAAGCTAAATAAGTTCGTTTAGTTCATTTGTACTTAAAAAAGGCTGAGCTGCTCTATTTTTAATCACTAATATTGATTTCATATTATCTCAACAATAGATCTATTTTATATTAGTTGTATATTACGTAATT